CTATTGCTGCAATGAACCACCATGATCAAAAGCAACTTGGAGAGGGAAGGGTTTATTTGGCTTACACTTCCACATCACAGTCCATAATCCAAGGAAGTCAGGGCAGGAATTCAAGGCCGGAACCTGGAGGCAGGAACTGAAACCAACGCTATGGAGGAGTGCTGCTTACTTGCTCACTCCCCATGGCTTTCTCGGCCGGCCTTCTTATGATCCCAGGACCATGTGGGCTGGGATCTCACAGCAATCATTGATCAAGGCCACACTGCACAGACTTTCGTACAGGCCAATCTTATGGAAGCATTTTCTCAATTAAGATTCCCTCTTCCCAGATATGTCTAGGTTTGTGTCAAGCTGAAAAAACAAAAACCAAACCAACCGGGACAGTTGTGCATGGTGTAACTGCCGGTGTGGTAGAAGAGAAGCCATGCACAAGCAAGGCTGTGCTCGGTGGAATCTAAGTCCTGCCCAGATGTGCTATTCCCCCTTCCCAGCTCTGTAAGCAGCCTGCTTCTCAGTGTCCTTGGGGCGACCGGCAGGCTTCTCTGACATGTACTACCTGCCTAGTGTGCAGCAACAGGCCCAATAAAGGCTTCTCTCAGGGGCACTTCTGTCTACTTTTGGTGTTTACCACTGGCAGGGTGGGCTAAGCTGGGTGCTGGAAAATGAGTCAAGCCTCAGGACTTACAGTTAAGCAAGAAAACTGCCAAGAATTCTAAAGAGTGATGGAGAAACTGCAGGAAGCAAGGGCAAACCATGCCAGAAGTATCCAGAAGGTGAGAGGCCATGAGTGACCACAGGCTGTGGAGGACAGCAGCCATGAAGAGCAGAGGGTGAGAGCCAAAGCTACAGGACTATGAACCCCATCCATACAGGAGTAAAAGATACCAGTGGTTAAGAGCCAAGGCTCAAGGCCTCTCGTCCTAGTGGTGGTGTGGTTTTGCTCTAAGCCCAGAACCTCTGGCTCTCAAGACACATACTTTCATTTTGGAAATCCAGAGTAGGAGTCAGGGATGTTAACACTGAGAGCTGCAGGCATGGTAAATCACATATGTAATCTTGGTGCTTGGAAGACTGAGGCAGGAGGATTACCAAGGGGTTCCAGATCACCCTTTGCTCTATCTATCTGTCTGTCTATCTATCTATCTATCTATCTATCTATCTATCTATCTAGAGAGAATTTGATCATGTGAAACCACCCATTCTTGGAAAATCCTAAGTTTTAGAGGCAGTACCTGCTTAGCCTCTGAAGCACAAAAGATCACTGATCTGATTGGGTCAAATGTTTGTTTCTTCCAGAGACTGCTTCTGAACCTTTAGAAGCAGTTGGCTCTCGGTCAGCTGACAGTCCCAGTAGAATACTACCCCATAGAGTGACAAACCCAAGCAGACCCTGGGCTGCCTGGGACCTTCAGGCAAACTGGAGAGTGGATAGTCAGAGGAGAAGCACCCCAAATCTTAGAAGGTATGTTTTCATCCTTCTGACTCTGCTCCTTTAGTATGTAGAACTCAAAGCCCTGTGAACAACCTTATGGCCAAGGAAAGGCACAGTGATCAGAACTGGTCATTCCTGTGGACCCACTTGCCTTGGAACAAGATCTCCTGGCTAGAAATCTTAGGGGTTTTCTTCATGTTTCAGATTACATCGTCTTCAAAAATTAACTCACTGAGAAAATCAGGAAAGTTAACACCACCCTTGAAGCCCCAGTGTGGGAGAGCTTGAAGTACTGCTTAGAGCCTACGACGTTAGTAAAATGCCTTGAGGTGCTGATGCAACTGGGTTTAACCACTAAAGATGTCATAGTAACTAGTTTTGTATCCAGCTCAAAACCCATTCAGTCCCAGCAGTTGGCAGTGAGCTGTGGCACTCAAGTTCAGCACAGTTGCCAAGTTCTCCCTCCCCAGAAGTTGACATCTGATTGACAGATGGCCCCAGAGAAAGTTTTTCAGATCATGTCTCAGTAAGCAGCAGCCTAGACTGTCAAGACCAGAGATTTAGGGTGTCGTCTGGCCCCCAAGTCTGGAAGAACTTAGCGAGTTCACAGGGCTGAGTGCAGGAGAGATGCACACATAGATGAGGGGGGAAAGGAAAATGAAAACATTCTGTTTCCACTGGCAGACGCAGTCTTTGCCAGGAAAACTGGAATGTTGACTTGGCACACATGTGACTCAAGTTTCTACACAAGCAGAAGTCAAGAAACAGCCAGATGGTGGCAGAAATTGCTGACTCTGCTTTTGACCTTGGCCAGGACGTGGCATTTCTGAACTCAGCTTCACAGGAAACTGGGCATGAGGGTGCACACCTTTCATCCTAGCACTCGGGAGGCAGAGGTTGCTGGATCTCTGAGCGTGTGGGGCCAGCCTGGTCTCCAGAATGAGTTCTAGGACAGCCATGGCTGCATACAGAAACCTTGTCTCAGGGAAAACACACACACACACACACACACACACACACACACACACACACACACACACACACACAAACAAAAACAAAAAAGATAACAGCAAAAAGGAGGGTGTGACGTTTATGTTTATCCTTAGGCTTTGTTATTGTTTGTTTTGTTTTTGTTTCACTATGTAGCCCTGGCTGTGCTAGAACTCACTGTGTAGACCTGGCTGTGCTAGAACTCACTGTGTAAACCGGGCTGGCCTAGAACCCACAGAGAACTGTCTGTACCTGCCTCCACACTGGCTCTTCTGTATTCAGTTTTGATTGGCTTGATTTATCATCACAGACAAAGGAAGAAGTGAGCAGACACAAAAACCTTCTCTGTAACACACAGGATGTGGACAGTTCTAAGGATTTAAATGTAGAGTTTTCAGATTTGGGGGCTGGAGAGATGGCTCAACAATCAAGGGCTCTTGCTGCTCTTTCTGAAGACCCAGGTTCAGTTCCCACCCATACCAGGTAGCTCACAACCACCTGTAACTCCAGGGAAACTGATGTACGTGTGTATGTATGTGTGTATGTGTGTGCGTGTGTGCACACGTGTGTATTGTGTGGGTGCATGTGTATGTGTGTGTATGTGTGTGGTGTATGTGTGTTTGTGTGTATGTGTGTATGTGTGTGGTGTATGTGTGTATGTGTGTACATGTGTGTGTGGTGTTTGTGTGTGCATGTGTGTGTGTGGTGTATTGTGTATGTGTGTGCATGTGTGTGTGGTGTATGTGTGTGTATGTGTGTGTACGTGTGTGTATGTGTGTATGTGTGTGCATCTGTGCACACGTGTGTGTGTGTGTGTGTATGTGTGTATGTGTGTGGTGTATGTGTGTGTATGTGTGTGTACGTGTGTGTATGTGTGTGTGTGTGTGTATCTGTGCACACGTGTGTGTGTGTGTGTGT